TATTCTTTGTAATGCTTTATCTTTTTATCAATCTCTTTTAATAAATTAATACGATTAATATATTCATTAGTAGGATCACTTATTAATTTAGCTTTAGCTAATTGGATTGCATAAAGAACAAATTGTTTTTCTGATTCATAAGTCAATGCTTTATGGATTGTGGTTGTTTTTTTTGATAAGAAAATTTCTAAGTTTTTTAAAGATTGTTGGATTTCTTCTGGTAACATTTATGATGTTTATATTTTAATAAATTTAATTATTTTTTTTATATTGTTTTTTTTATATTATTTTCTTATTTTTTAATAAATTTAATTATTTTTTTATAAATTTAATTTTTTTTGTATATGATTTAATTATATTTTAATAAATTTTCTTATATTTTAATTTATAAAACTAATCAATTTTATTTTTCTAATGTCATTTGCTTCTTCGTTAAAATCACTTCAAACAAAAAAAGAATTAACATTTTTACTGGTAGGTCTGGACAATTCAGGTAAAACAACTATAATAACCAACTTATGCAACATAAAAGAAAAGATACTTCCTACCTTTGGTTATAAAAAATATTACCTAACAAAAAATAATTTAAACATAAAAATATTAGACATAGGTGGTCAAGAATGTTTTAGTGAGTATTGGTTTAATTATTATGGTTTAGTAAATGGTAATATTTTTGTGATAGATATGTCAGATAAAAGAGATTTTCTTAAGTATTTTGAAGGATATAAAGAAAGTATTCCTTTATTGATTTATGGAAATAAGAAGGATTTAGGGGATATTGATTTAAAAGTGGATGGTAATGTTAAATTTTTAAAGGTGTGTGCTATAAAGAATGAAGGATTAGAAGAAGGAATCGATTGGTTAATTAATCAATGCATTAATTTATAAATGTTTTTTAAAAATAAAAGAAATTATATAAAAATAAATAATTAATAAATTTATTAATAAATATAAAATAAACTAGTTGGTTTGGTATTTAGCCTTGAGGCAAGTTACATGAACTTCCCGAAATGTGTAAATAATCGACTTAATCAAAAAAATGGGTAAATAATATACTTCATTAATCCTACTTTAAAAAAAACGATAATAATTTTAGCAAACTTTGACGAATTTTTAAAATTAAACTACTTGTCGTTAGGCCGTAATATTACAGTAAGTTCTATAAGACCATGATGTATATCGCCAAAAAAATTTCCATGAAAATCGGCTTAAATTTTTTTTTCAACAGTTAATTACAAGAAAACGGCTCTGTAGATTTTCACCTAAAATTAATCAGTACCATTCCCAACTAATATCTTTCGAACAGTTTTTGATATTTTAAAATCGGTTCGGTAGGATGAGCTTAAATGTCGACGAAAATTTAACACTTTTTTTCAACAGTTAATTACAAGAAAACGGCTCGGTGGATTTTCACCTAAAATTAATCAGTATCATTCCCAACTAATATCTTTCGAACAGTTTTCGATATTTTAAAATCGGTTCGGTAGGATGAGCTTAAATGTCGACGAAAATTTAACACTTTTTTTCAACAGTTAATTACAAGAAAACGGCTCGGTAGATTTTCACCTAAAATTAATCAGTATCATTCCCAACTAATATCTTTCGAACAGTTTTTGATATTTTAAAATCGGTTCGGTAGGATGAGCTTAAATGTCGACGAAAATTTAACACTTTTTTTCAACAGTTAATTACAAGAAAACGGCTCGGTAGATTTTCACCTAAAATTAATCAGTATCATTCCCAACTAATATCTTTCGAACAGTTTTTGATATTTTAAAATCGGTTCGGTAGGATGAGCTTAAATGTCGACGAAAATTTAACACTTCTTTTCAACAGTTAATTACAAGAAAACGGCTCGGTAGATTTTCACCTAAAATTAATCAGTACCATTCCCAACTAATATCTTTCGAACAGTTTTTGATATTTTAAAATCGGTTCGGTAGGATGAGCTTAAATGTCGACGAAAATTTAACACTTTTTTTCAACAGTTAATTACAAGAAAACGGCTCGGTAGATTTTCACCTAAAATTAATCAGTATCATTCCCAACTAATATCTTTCGAACAGTTTTTGATTTTTTAAAATCGTTCGGTAGGATGAGCTTAAATGTGGACGAAAAGTTTTTTTCAAATTACAAAGAAACGGCTTGGCAGATCGTTGCACAAAACTGACAAACGATAGTCCTCACCGAAATACATCAAATGGCTTTTAAATTTCTAAAATCGGTTTAGGCGTTTTTGAGAAAACGTCGATCAAAAGTCTAATTTTGACAAATGCCAAAAAGACCATACTGATTTTTGCAAACTTTGACGAATTTTTAAAGCTGAACCAGTTGTCGTAGGGCCGTAATATTTTAGTATGATCTAGAAGACTATGGTATCTATCGTCAAAAAAATAATCATAAAAATCGTCGAAATTTTTTTTTTAAAAACTTTATTACAAGAAAACGGCCCGGCCGATCTCTACCAAAAACTAATCAGCACGATTCCCAACCAATATCTTTCGAACGGTTTTTGAATTTTCAAAATCGATTCAGAATTGCGGGCTAAAACGTAGACGAAAAATTTTTCACTTTTCTGCCATTTATAAAGAAACGGCTTGGCCGATCGTCGCACAAAACTGACAAACAATAGTTCTCGTCAAGATACATCGAATGGCTTTTAAATTTTTGAAATCGACCCAGCCGTTTTCGAGAAAACGTCGATTTACGACAAAAAATCTGTTCACATACACACACACACACACACACACACACACACACACACACACACACACACACACACATACTTTTTCCAAATTTGGTCTCATTCGATTCAGAATGGCTTGAAACGTCGAGAAAACATAAAATTAGCGAATCGGGTTTTTTGATGAAAACATAAACTTCTCCTTCGGGAAGTTAATAATTAATAAACTTATTAATAAATTTAAAATAATATTTTAATAAAATATAAATAAACAAATATAAATTAATATTTTTAAAAATGAATATTGATAAAAAATATTTTTTTAATCTAATAACTTTATTATTTATTTAAAAAATTATTTAATATAATTTAATTTTTTTTTATTAAAGAACGTACGTTAACTTAAGAATAAAAAATCTAAAAAAGAAAGTTCTAGCTTGTGAAAGGCTCGCAGTATTTTTATTTTATAAAAAAAAGATTATAAGTTAATTTTTTACTTATAAAGCTGTAATTATTTCATATTTCTTTTCAAACTTAGACTTAATCTCTTCAAAATAACAATCCAAAGTATTAAGAAAAGCATTAGCACAGCATCAAAGGTATATCCTACCTTAACTTCATTTTTATTGATCTCAAAACCCAGACAGCACAAGACATGCCAGGGAATGTCCCACTTGTCCTCACAATCTCCTAATATCGCGATATCCTATGAATATCCTATGAATATGCAACGGGACGTCTCAAACCCAAAGGACTCGAGCAGGTATAACGCACGATTCACGAGCATGTCGCTTTCATACGCGCACGGCTTGAGACCTCTAAACGTATATGTTTGTTCCTTTCTCTTTCGTCGCGTCGGCTGTAGGCTGTAGGCACGGAGCGTCCTTTAAGGTTTCAGCGTTATCAATAGACGCTATATGTCATAGTTTTTGAGTAATTGAGTAATAATAGTGAAAATTTTATTTGTTTTATATATTTATATGAGCGTGTGTTATAAATAATTAATATTATTTATCAAAATACTCTAAAATTGAGTAATAATAGTGGAAATTTTATGTGTTCTATATAATTATATGTGCGTGTGTGTTACAAATACTGCAGCCGTGTTTGAAAGAGGATTGACAAAAAAGAGCATTGAAAGAGTTGGTTTTGAGGTTTGACTCGAACCATACTCAAAAGTTAAATTAAATATTTTTTGAAATGCTTTCTATTATGTTTGTTGGAGGAGCTTCAACTTGTGGATCAAAACACAATTGGTAATCAAAAGTTTATATAGATTTATTTTTATTTGTTAACTTTATCATATACTAAACAAACTTTCTCTTTAGATTCTGTATTTAGCCATCAGAGTCCAGCTATGAAAATCCATTTTTGATGATGGTTTGGCCAAAAGAATTTTGCTAGGGACGAGGAAAGGGCAAAAATAAATTTTGTGATCTAGTGCCTTGCGATGTCATCACAGGTAATTTATATATCTTATACTTATGATGTGTTGTAAATTATGAATAAAACTAATATATAATTAATTCCAGGAATTGCTTTGAAAAATTTGCCGCATGAGACATAGTTTGCTGTTTTAGAGGCTGCAAAAAGCTGGCTGCGACGTGCCAATAAATATTATACAAGGTATTTCTGTGAGATGTGTACTATATGTTTCTCTTATTTACAAAAAAATCATGATTATTGACTGGTTAGTTGTATCAATGTTAGTGCAAAATTTGTGCTGTGTACACATTTTTAGATGTAAAAAACCAAGTTTAATATTCACTCGTAATGACATCAAATTGTGTCGATATATTTGGAATTAGAGATTATTTTATAAATCTCTGTCTATTTTGATTGATGTATCGCTCTTAAAGAACTTACTCATAGATATATATATATATATATATATATATATATATATATATATATATTTATACATATACATATATATGCATTTATTCATTTGTTTTCTATTTCAGGAGAGAAAATCAACCATGAACTAGGATTGAATGCCGAATTAATTATATTTTTAATATTGTAAAATAAGTTATTTTGAATTAAAGTTGTATATATTAAATTTTGTTATAAAATTATCTCAGGATTTTGTTATTTTGTAATAAAAGTTTACTTTGTGAAATTGTGTTCTTTTATTTTATTTTTAATCCAAATTTATTTTTCATCTAAAAAGTAAAAAACAATTCCATAATTATATCCTATTCATGTCCGGTTTATGTCCGGAATATCCCGCGCGGGATATCCTACAGAACGTCCCATAGGTGCGACATATTAACATGTTTCGGATAAGATCAGGATAAGCGGGATATCCGTAAGGCTATCGCAGGGACAATGAATGTCCGCGCGTGGATATCCTGTGGACGTTTTCCAGGATGTCTTGTGTTGTCTGGGAAACATCTTCAATCACACTTCTTAATTGATCTGTCAAATAAAAAATGGGAGGAAAAGAATCAAGGCAAGTTGCATGGATCTCAATAGAATCTTTCATGGTTAAAATGGCTAATTCTTTAAAATTCTTGGTATGAATGTAATGAATCATATCTTTAATTTTCTTGTTTATGTTTTCTAATCTCTTTTTGAATAATTCACTTGCATTAACTGTCCTTAGCATTCCTTCAGTGCTAGGCACTTTTTTAGAATTTTTGTTTGAAACAAGTAAGATTACTTCTACTTAGTTCTTTCCATTCGCTTAGTTTTTCTGCAAAGTATTCCTTTCCTTCTTTCTTTAAATGTACTAATCCATCAAAAATTGATCTACTTGCACTGCCTGAGCCTTTCCTTGCCAAAATGGAAAGTGTTTTAGAGTCTAAATTAAAATTAAAGAAAGAATCTAATGCTTTTACCAGAGCAGAGTAACCAGAGGCAGAACTTGCTAAGCCACAAGAATGAGGGAATGAATTTTTAGACACAATTTTTAATTTACCTTTGTAATTAAACACTTCTTTGAAATAATTTATCAGATTTTGCATTCTAACAGGTATTTCTTTTATTTCATTGTCTAAAATAAACAAATCTTCACTGCTTTCTTCAATGGTTGTTGTTGTGATAAGATTTTTTAAGGTTAAAGAGATACTTTCGTTGGTTGGTAAGTTTTCTTTTATGTCTGATTTACCCCAATATTTTATTAAAGCAATGTTTGGATGGGAAATAACTGTTTTAACTCCAAAATTGTGAAAGAATGCAAGTATAATGAGCTGGGAGTTAATCTATAAATAATATTTAAAAAATCAAAAAAAAAAAATCGATTTATTCAATATTTTATCTTATTAGAATCTTTCTATCTACAAGTTTTTGGATAATTTGATATTTTTTGATAATTTTGACGTACCATATGCATCTTCATCACTCAAATTCCAATCATAACCAGAGTCTAAAGCACCAAATGCATATACTGAACCACTACCCACAGAAAAAACTTTTCCCGGAGTTCTTGTACCTTCTGAATCTACATAGTACAATGCAGGTCCTCGCTTATCATAGCCCGCTAACATCATACCCATAGATAAGCCCATTCCTTTATAATTATAAACCATATTAGACATAAGTTTGCTTGCAGCTGCTACAGATATTCTTTCTCTATTGCGCAGTTCATGCAAACGGCATTGTTTTGCTAGCACACGATCCCAATAAACACAATCAGCTGCTCCACCAGCCAAAGTTCTTAAGAAGAGAAAATATAAGATTTACCTTTCAAAGTTGCTTAGGAAGTCACATTTTAATTCATTTAACTATATTTGGAAACAATTTCTTGAAGAAAACCACAATAGTATATTTATTAACTGATAAGCTGATGAATTGTAACTGTTTCTCAATGAATGATGCCTCAAAAAATATTTTGACTCATGTAAGTAGACATTTTAAGCTACATATAAGAATTATCAGTAACGCCGACTGTAACTGGTAATGATGAATCAGCATTATTACCTATGATATAACAAACATCAGAAATTCAAGATCAAATTAAAAAGACACAAAATATGTACCTAACAAAAAATCATTAATTTCAACAATTTTCTTCATGCATTGTGACCCAATAAATTGTCCACCAGTTGCTTGGGAATCAACTGCTAGTATCACACCACCTCGGAATTGAAATCCAAGAGTTGTAGTACCATGATCAAAATGCATACGCAACTTATTTCCTTGTTCATCTTTCATATTAGCAAGTTCCACCGCAGGCTAAAAAATAAATGATATACATATTTTAATATTTTAAATATAAATAAAGATTGACATCAACAAAATTCACATTTGCGAATGGAGGAGCACATAATTCCATATTATTTTGGAAAGTACGTGTTAATTTTGCATATTCATCAGTATCATCATTTTGAGAATAATAATTCTCCAAACCACACAATTGAGCCAAAGCCATTATTATAAAATTAATTACAAAACGAAGTAATCTAAACTGCCAGATAACCAACAAGAAACAAATGACAAAGACAAACAAAATTAGAAGCTTCACAGTCACAGTCATACACACTAACGCGAAGTTAGCGTCGAAAATATCGATAAGTTTTTTAATAGTCTGCGGAACAACGCTGCGGTTATGCCGTTATGCCGCTTTTTTTAAATCTTCAAAAGTTTCAAACATTAAATTTATTGGGCTACAGTTTTTCTATCACGTTTGACCAATCCTTGCCATCAGTAAGCATTATATCAAATTATTGATAGATAATTAGATTTACTCTAATTAAAATTTAGTTACTATTTACTAACAGTGCTCCGAATATTTTTAATTTTTTTTTACACATTCTTTGATAATCGTATGCGTTCCTTATTATAAAAATTAATTATTTATATATTACCAATAAAATGTTAGGCTTATGATATAACAGTTGTACGACAATCAAGATTATTTATCGAATTTAAAATTATTAGAGTATTAATTGCATTGGAATTTTCATTTAAGTTTTAGAATTTATGATATATCTTGCTTTACTATTATATTAAACAAACACTAATCCATTCACCTAATTTTAAAAAATTACTTGTAAAAAGTTTATATAAAAAATCTGTAAAATATTAGTGTATAAAAAACAAATATTTTATATACCTACACTAATTTATATTTTGCCATAAATTTAAAAGCTATTGTACATGGCCAGATTTTTCTAACAAATGTTAAACTCTGTATAATTTAAATGAATAAGTCTTCACATGAATTTATATTATACCTGCACTGGATGCATTTATAATGAAATCGAATAATATGGTTATCTATTTTTAAAATCAGCGCGATAATTAAATTATATTCATTATTCGAACATGGTTATGAACATATTTGCAGTAATTAGGATAATAAATATACAATTTAAAAAATCAATTTAATGCAATAATATTAAATTTAGATCAGTTATAATTTTGCAACATTGATTTCGATATATGATTATTTATTTTTTAAATAATATACACTGAACTTAAAATTGAAATGAACTGAAATCGCACATAAGGTTGCTAAATAATTTAATAGGGTTATCATCCGCATGTTAATTATTATTTTTTATTAATCTTTTAGATTATTTATCGTTTCTCAATTTAAATTTTATGCGTGACCGATTTTGACTTCAATTGTGCAACCTAATTAAGTGAAAAACTAAACATTGAATTTGATCCAAAGAAAAGGGTTACCTATTGTTTTGATTTGATTGAGAAGCGGAGATCAAGTCCGGCACGTGTTCGAAGTTTTCTTGTTCAACGAAAGGGTTGTGATTTAGGGCAATTGCCTAATTAATTGTGTTTATATGCTTGTGTTTTGTGTGTACATATTTCAGGAATGACGGATTTCATTAAATGCATTATTTGTGATAAACGTGCGAATAGCATGTCTGAAATGCATTTGCATCAAACGACATGTCATTCGATTGATCAGTTTTCTTTAATAATATTATCGCGCAGAGAATCCAAGATTGAAAATGGTGAGTTAATTGTGTGATACATTAATCCACCAATAAATAATTAACTAGTTGGTTTGGTATTTAGCCTTGAGGCAAATTACATGAACTTCCCGATATGTGTAAATAATCGACTTGATCAAAAAAATGTGTAAATAATATACTTCATCAATCCTACTTTAAAAAAAACGATAATAATTTTAGCAAAGTTTGGCGAATTTTTAAAATTAAACTACTTGTTGTAAGGCCGTAATATTACAGTAAGTTCTATAAGACCATGATGTATTTCGCCAAAAAAAGTTCCATGAAAAACGGCTTAAATTTTTTTTAATTACAAGAAAAGAAAACGGCTCGGTAGATTTTCACCTAAAATTAATCAGCATCATTCCCAACTAATATCTTTCGAACAGTTTTTGATTTTTTAAAATCGGTTCGGTAGGATGAGCTTAAATGTGGACGAAAAGTTCAACACTTTTTTTCAAATTACGAAGAAACGGCTTGGCAGATCGTTGCACAAAACTGACAAACGATAGTCCTCACCGAAATACATCAAATGGCTTTTAAATTTCTAAAATCGGTTCAGGCGTTTTTGAGAAAACGTCGATCAAAAGTCTAATTTTGACAAATGCCAGAAAGACCATACTGATTTTTGCAAACTTTGACGAATTTTTAAAGCTGAACCAGTTGTCGTAGGGCCGTAATATTTTAGTATGACCTAGAAAACTATGGTATCTTTCGTCAAAAAAATAATCATAAAAATCGTCAAATTTTTTTTTTTAAAAACTTTATTACAAGAAAACGGTCCGGCCGATCTTTACCAAAAACTAATCAGCACGATTCCCAACCAATATCTATTGAACGGTTTTTGAATTTTCAGAATCGATTCAGAATTGCGGGCTAAAACGTGGACGAAAATTTTTTCACTTTTCTGCAATTTACAAAGAAACGGCCCGGCCGATCGCCGCACAAAACTCAGAGACGATAGTCCTCATCGAGATACATGAAATGGCTTTTAAATTTTTGAAATCGGTCCAACCGTTTTGGAGAAAACGTCGATTTACGGCAAAAAATCTGTTCACACACACACACACACACACATACACACACACACACACACATACTTTTTCCAAATTTGGTCTCATTCGATTCAGAATGGCTCGAAACGTCGAGAAAACATAAATTAGCGATTCGGATTTTTTTATGAAAACATAAACTTCTCCTTCGGGAAGTTAATAAAGTAAAGATACTGAAGATAAAAATAGAATTTGGGATTATAGATGAGAGATAAATTCACCTACACCAAAGTTATGTTATGTCAAAATTAAATTCTAGTAGAAATAAATTACCCTTAAACAATCCATCAACTAAACCCTTAACAGCAGTGTCATAAAATTCAGCTTGCGAAACTTCTGGTGGAAATACATGGTTGTAAGTAAAAGAAAGATTTTTTATTAAAACTTGAGGTTTATTTGGCAGTGTTTCGAGGCATTTAACATATCCTTTAGAAATTTCGGATTTGACTAAAGGCCTTATCCTTAAAGCCACCTGTACACTAACAGCAGAATCAGCCATCTGAAATTTTTTCAAAAATCGTTTGAGCAGGTGTAGATCTTATATGAGATATTCTATTTTATTTATGAAGAAAATAATATAGTAAATAATATACTTCATTAATCCTACTTTAAAAAAAAACGATAATAATTTTAGCAAACTTTGACGAATTTTTAAAATTAAACTACTTGTCGTTAGGCCGTAATATTACAGTAAGTTCTATAAGACCATGATGTATATCGCCAAAAAAAATTCCATGAAAATCGGCTTAAATTTTTTTTTCAACAGTTAATTACAAGAAAACGGCTCGGTAGATTTTCACCTAAAATTAATCAGTACCATTCCCAACTAATATCTTTCGAACAGTTTTTGATATTTTAAAATCGGTTCGGTAGGATGAGCTTAAATGTCGACGAAAATTTAACACTTTTTTTCAACAGTTAATTACAAGAAAACGGCTCGGTAGATTTTCACCTAAAATTAATCAGTATCATTCCCAACTAATATCTTTCGAACAGTTTTTGATATTTTAAAATCGGTTCGGTAGGATGAGCTTAAATGTCGACGAAAATTTAACACTTTTTTTCAACAGTTAATTACAAGAAAACGGCTCGGTAGATTTTCACCTAAAATTAATCAGTACCATTCCCAACTAATATCTTTCGAACAGTTTTTGATATTTTAAAATCGGTTCGGTAGGATGAGCTTAAATGTCGACGAAAATTTAACACTTTTTTTCAACAGTTAATTACAAGAAAACGGCTCGGTAGATTTTCACCTAAAATTAATCAGTATCATTCCCAACTAATATCTTTCGAACAGTTTTTGATTTTTTAAAATCGTTCGGTAGGATGAGCTTAAATGTGGACGAAAAGTTTTTTTCAAATTACAAAGAAACGGCTTGGCAGATCGTTGCACAAAACTGACAAACGATAGTCCTCACCGAAATACATCAAATGGCTTTTAAATTTCTAAAATCGGTTTAGGCGTTTTTGAGAAAACGTCGATCAAAAGTCTAATTTTGACAAATGCCAAAAAGACCATACTGATTTTTGCAAACTTTGACGAATTTTTAAAGCTGAACCAGTTGTCGTAGGGCCGTAATATTTTAGTATGATCTAGAAGACTATGGTATCTATCGTCAAAAAAATAATCATAAAAATCGTCGAAATTTTTTTTTTAAAAACTTTATTACAAGAAAACGGCCCGGCCGATCTCTACCAAAAACTAATCAGCACGATTCCCAACCAATATCTTTCGAACGGTTTTTGAATTTTCAAAATCGATTCAGAATTGCGGGCTAAAACGTAGACGAAAAATTTTTCACTTTTCTGCCATTTATAAAGAAACGGCTTGGCCGATCGTCGCACAAAACTGACAAACAATAGTTCTCGTCAAGATACATCGAATGGCTTTTAAATTTTTGAAATCGACCCAGCCGTTTTCGAGAAAACGTCGATTTACGACAAAAAATCTGTTCACATACACACACACACACACACACACACACACACACACACACACACACACACACACACACACACATACTTTTTCCAAATTTGGTCTCATTCGATTCAGAATGGCTTGAAACGTCGAGAAAACATAAAATTAGCGAATCGGGTTTTTTGATGAAAACATAAACTTCTCCTTCGGGAAGTTAATTAAATGTATAATATTATATGATTGTAACCTAATTTCATTAGTTGTAGAAAATTTGACGAAAAATGACAAAAACAGCAATAATTCTAACAGAAAAAAATCTAAAACTAGTGCTTCTGTTTTGCAACAAGAATTAAAAGATTGTGTCACAGCTATTGATAAAGTATTGCAATCTTCAAATAAAACTGAAGGCAGACGTAAGAAGAATCCAAGACCTCGAAAGAATGATAAAACTGAAACAGCTAAAAAACAATGTACAATAACTACTTAATGGTATTTTATTTATTTAGTTATAACTTTATTTGTGGTATATGAAAATTATGACTGATTTACATGATGCTTAAAATAGGTGCTATTATAGAATATATATATTATATATATATATATATATATATATATATATATATATATATATATCAAGTAACGGCAACCAAACTAGAGTTAGAGGATCAAATCTTTTTATATTTATATTTGTGCAATTGTAATCAGATGCTCTTATAGCACTAAAGAAATCATCAAATAGATCTTGGTGAATAGTTTATGCACACATACCCAGGAAACCTGACTAAAATATATATATATAGTATATGTAAATTGGTCATTATTATTTATAGGCTTAGTGTGTAAATGATTTAGTATGCAAATTAATTTTAATCAATAATTAAATCTAAAATTCATATGTTAGATGCCAATGAAATAGCAGATGGAGTGCAAAATATTGGACCTGAAAAAGAAGTCGATGAAACCAAGCCAATTCAGCAACCAGAATTATCAACAACAATCAACACTCCTTTGAAACGATCACTAGGCAAAAAGCCTACTAAGCCTGCAAATGTAAAAATAAGTAAAGCCAGTGAAACAACTAAAACACCGACTGATGTCATTCGAAAAAGAACAACTGTATCATCAACTAATAGGAGAGAAAAAGTTAGTCGATGCTCCCAGAACAAGAAATGTGCAATATTGGAATCTGTATTGGTCGCAAAAGGTTCAGTCAGAAAGAGAACCAAATTAATGTAATAAATCCCACCAAAATGAAACTTATTTTTCCACAAGCCAATAATCAAGAAGTAAAAGCAAAAGAAGATGTTACCTGGAATAAGGCTTACCAGAATTATGTTGATGGATTGCAAGTTGTAAAAGAAATTCCAGTTGTTCAAGCTGATTATACATCAAATAATGCACTCAATTTTCAAAATATCCTTACAAAACAAAATCAGAATCAAACACCATTTACTGATAAAAATGAAGGATACGAGTTTAATAATAACAATCATCAACAATCATCAGAAGGCCGTATTCAAAATCCTTACCATTTGCAAGATAACCTTGGCAATGATTTATTAAATAAGACATTTATTGAATCTAATGATTTAATTAGCGATTTGAGGAACATTGCACCAGAGCACCTAGTAAATAATTTGAATGATGATTCAAATCTCGATAGCATTTCAATGGGCTTAACAAATGATGTAAAAGACTTCATTGTTGAATTTTTTGAGGAAGAGCAAAATGCTGAAACGAGAAATCCTTATTGGGAAGATAATATGAATAAGTACTTTCCATCTGAAACAAAAAGTAGTTCAGAAATTGAACAATTTAATGATAATGCTGACAAATATATGAATGGCAATGATGAGATGCCTTTGAATTTAGTTATAAGAGAAATTGATGTACCGATCAATCAAGAAAGCTTTAATAATATTTTTTATCATACAACTTACACATCTAATTCAGCAAATAAAGCGATATGTAAATCTACTTGGAGTGAGGAATATATGAATAGCCAAAATGCAAATTTTTGGGCATCATACAATGTTAACAAGCGACCATATGAATTTTCGTATGCATACAAATATAAACTTTTTTGTCAAATATGTGGTGATCAATTTCTGAATAATATTGCATTACAAGCACATTACATTTCTTGCAGTGGAATAAATGACAACCAGAGGGTAAAGACATCGGAAGAAAAAATGTTGGAAGAACACTTCCAAAAAACATTCATTGGAGGTGAGCCTGGCATGATGGTTTATAATTCTGAAATTCAAGAAAATAATATGAATTTGACTCATTTTAAATATGAATGCCATGCATGTCAGACAGGATTTAAAAACGGCACTAATTATTGCAAACATATGTTGGATCATAAAAAAATTTTTGCACAAGGAAAATATGTAATATGTACTGAATGTGGTTTGTATATCGAAAATTTTAACATATTGAAAAATCATTTTCATAAATATTCTTAACAATTATCATTATGTTATTTTTGTTTGTTATTAAATGAGAAAAGTTTTTTGAGAAAACTTACAGCTCTGATTGTACATGTTATCTCATTCAGAGGTACTTCCTCTATTATTTAATTTAGTGTTTAAGAAACATTCAGTTTTTATGTATTGAGTTATATCTTCACTGATATTGTGGAACTGATTATTTGTTGTTTTTTGTCAAAGAGTATATTGTATAATGTATATAATTATGTGACTTCATTCTATGAAATTATTATACTGTTTGAAATAGAGATTTAATTTGTTGAATAATGAAAATGAAATATATGTTTTTTACACTATTATTCTGTTATGTTTATGGGTATGCAGAAAGATAAAATTATTAAAGTTGAAATATATATATATATATATATATATATATATATATATATATATATCTACTTTTTATTAGTTTAATTGCACCTCATCCGAACATTGCTGTTCTGATACTAGCAAGAGGAGGTTCAAAAGGAATACCTTTGAAAAATTTGCAAAAAATTAATAATAATTATTATATTAATAAGTATTATTTGTTTTTTGATGTACATTGTTTTTTTTTTTTTTTTGTTTAGATGATAGTGGATTTGGCGGACATGGAGGTGGTGGCGGAGGCGGTAGCGATAACAGGCGTGGTGGTGGGTGTGTATAATTTATTATTTTGTTGTGATAATTTATCACAATTAGAGTCAGAAATTAACATACTTTTGTTTATTTTCTTTTTAGTGGTGGCTTCTCTAATTATTCAGAAACAAGAAATTCAACAAAAAGTAATACTTATTCAAGTTATCAATCTACATCAGGTGCATATTCCTCTGGTTCATCTTCACGAGTTACCAATGATAATAGAGGTAACAATTTGTTAATTAAGTTTTTGAGCATATGAAGTATAATAGTTTGTTCTCAATTATATTATTTGCAGATAATTCCTTTTTCCCAAATAAATCAGATGACAAAACTAGATCACATGGTGGTGAAACTGACTTTAATGTAAATGATGATTTTGATTGTATGATTACAGGTAAAATTATTATTAATTTTGTTGAAATATTATTAATAACTTCTACAAGTATCATACTATTTTTTATATTATTTTCCTGTGTATTACTTTCCTGTTTTTTTTTTTTCAATTTTTAATTCTAAAATTTAAAATTTACTAGATTTTTTTTTCAGATATGGATTGGGACGATAACTTTAATGAAAATGGTATTGTTGACAGCAGCATACAACAGAACGATAATAGCAACTCAAATTACAGCAGCACCAAATTTACTCGTAATTATAAAAGTCTAAGGGCACAAACGGAAAATAAAGACTTTTCAACTAATCAGAAACAAACATATGGAGGGAACAGTTCCGGCTGGCATCAAACTAAACATTCTAATAGAAAGCAAAATGATGAAAAAGAGGTTTTATGCAGTGGCTGCCAAGAAAACCAGCTAGAAGTAAGAAAAAAAATTTTACAATCATGATATACTCCTGCATATTTTATACTGAGGATTGTTGTTGATATTTTTTAGACAGACTGTAAAAAAAGAGGGTCCAAACAAAGGCAGAAAATTTTATGTATGTCCCAAACCTATGGAACAACAGTGTAAGTTCTTTGAGTGGGCAGAAGATGAACCTGAGCATGATAGCAATGAATCAAGTAAGCACTAAAATAATTAAAAGTATATATAGTTTAAGACATAGAGATATACAAACATATATGCTATGTAAATTTTATTATAGCTAACAACTGGTCAAGTAAACCTTCAAAGTCAAGAAAGACTTCAACTACAGTTTCAAAGAGAAAAACAACTTCTAAGGCAACTGGTACAAAACCCACTTCAAAAAGAAAATGTGGCCAATGTCGACAGGAAGGACACACAATTAAAAATTGTCCAAATATTAGCCATGTATGATATCTCAATGAAAAATGAGACGGTAATAATTGTTTTAATTTTTTTAACATGAGTTTTAAGCATTACATATTTGTAAATACATATGTATAATATATATACTATATATGTATGAATATATATATATATATATATATATATATATATATAGCATATTGCGTTGCAACGGCCCTTATTAAAATCCATCTGATTGAAATTTGAATCCGTTTGACAACCAAATTTCAAACCTTTTGTTATAAAAAATTTATATCAATCCAAAAATAAATAAATCCGGATTATTAAACATTTGAATAATGAGTACTTACAAATGTATAATGAATAACCAAGTGATTTTTATAAATTTGTTATATCTTATTTGGTATTACGTTCTATTTACCTTCAGCTAACATTTTAACATGTTCTACGATGCTTTATTTAGGAATGGTTTCACATACTATTGGTCACATACTATTGGGAACTTGCTATAATCCTTTATATTTTTTTTTGAAAATTTTCCATAAATTTATGATTAGACACTCATCGGATTTCAATGCTTTTTTTAAATTTTTATTACTTACGAAACACTTATAATAAAATTTCGACTATACATTCATATTCATACGACACACTTATAATAATACCTTATACTAACATTCATAGATTCATACTATGGAAACTAAATGGAAAAGTTCTGAGGAATTCGAGTCCAAATCTATTAAATGTTTGATTTTTGGCACTTCGAAATTTAATATGATATGATATAATATTCAGTTTTCAATCATGATTTCTATTAATTTTGTGATGTTTATATCTGAATGAACAACTTAAGCAAATTAAATCTTAATCATAAATCAATTTATTCATAAATTTCCCGGAATATTACAAACGTCATTTTCGGCATTTATTTAAAATTCGTAACCGCCCAAATTATTTAAATTTGATAAATTTTATTATTCTGTATCTTAATGTGATTTGTGATATTGCCTAAGTTGCAATAATTAATGTATTTGTGCCTATTGGAATTCGTTAAAATATTAATTATTCTTTTGACCTGTCAAAATTTTGTTTATGATTAAAGTTAAATTTAATATGTCGCTTTTTCATTCTGATCTATTATGTTTTGAGGACGTGTTAGTATCCGAACTAATATGTTGAGCAAACCAAATAAATATAAATTATAAATAAATTTATTCATCTAATACTTTCCATAGATATGGATAATTGACATTTCACTTTTTTTAGTTTACAACTATCAAAATTTATTTAAATCTATAAACATTATATATTCTATTATTTTGAATATAGCATTTTGCCTAATTTGGATATAACTGTTGTATATATTATATTATATCTGTCCCTTTTTCAATTAGTAAAAATAATATATTTTTTAGAATTGTCATTTTTTTTTTTCAAAAATCATAAATCGTTTTTTTCTCTCGAAGTTTCCATAAATATTGACATTTGTCATTTTAGTGTTTTTTTTTTTTTAGTGAATTTCTGTCAAAATTTATGGAAATTTATAAATAATATAAAACTAAATAAATATTTCCTTCTTGGTCGAAATTTAATATAATATGATATATATTTTTCAATAATGTTTTGTATCTACAATATTACCTATAACAAAACTTGAATAATTAATGTATTTGTTTTTTATTGAAGTCGTTAAAAATTCAATTTTTCTGAACTGTCAAAATTTGTTTATTATTAATGATTAATTTAATATGTCGTTTTTTTATTGTGATCTATAATGTTTTGAGTGGTTTTGAGGAAGTTTTGGTATCCGAACTAACTTCGTAAGCAAATCAAATAAATATAATTATAAATCTATTTATCTAATAATTTTTATAAATATTGACAAATGTCATTTCACATTTTTTTATAACTTTTATTTAAATTTATGAACATTGATTTTAAATTAGATTTAAAATTATAAACAGTGATTTTGAATGTAGCTTTTCATCTAATTTGGATATAAATGTTGGATATATCTATAGTATATGTTTTTTGAACTGTCAATTTTTTTTTTTCAAAATCATTAATCTTTTGTTCTCGAATTTTCCATAAATTTTGACATTTGTCATTTTAGTGTTTTGTTTTTTTTGGTCATTTTCTGTCAAAATTTTTAGAAATTTATAGAAATTATATATTTATATTTCAAATTTACTGTTCAAAATTTCCTATAACCTAAGTTGGATATATATGCACACGATGAGCCAATAAAATTTAAAATCGGTCCAGTAGTTTGGGCGTCCATCGCGAACCAACATCGTGACACGAGATTTATATATATATAGATATATTATATATATGTTGAAAATGTTTAAATTTGATGTTGAAATGTATGATAGATTTCTTGGAGGGCGTAACATCAAGTAAAAAAAGTAAAGTAAAGATTTTTCTTCAAGACATCTTTATATTTCCATAAGTTTCGACGTAAAATTCTACGTCATCTTACACAAAATTCCTATCCCCCACATCTTATAAAATCCGTCACAAACAATAGACTCACTTTTTTAAAAAACAAAATAACTAACCCCAACCTAAGTTTAATTTCACAAAAGATAATAATTTTGAAGGTACCATTTAATATTGTTTTCACATCATTTTTAACTTCTCAATTCTAACTTTGGCCTTTATATGTTTTATTTAGGTAGAATTAGAATGTTTCTGAAAAATTTTTTTTTATCATGCTTACAATTGTAAGTATGATAAAAAAAAAATTTTCAGACATACTGTTGATGAACAATATGATGTTTGTACGTATGCGAGTGGACTTACTTGACATATACAATTTATTTATATAATCAGTTAATATTGCCGTTGTTCCGAGACTATTTTCTTAAGTAAATAACAATATAAAGAAAATATTGAAGTACCTTCCTCAGGACCTCGCTAGCATTACCTTCGTGCTGCGTATGGCCCCAGCCAGTTGCTATTAGCCTTTTTATTAGTAATTTCATTATTTTTTGGCAAACAGATTG